CAATATCTATATTAGTATATTACTACTATAGTATATTAATATATTATTATTATTATTTTATTATATATTATAATTTATAAAATTTAATGTTTTAAAATATAATAAATTTTTTATATATAATTATTTTATATTATTTTATATTTCAAACAATAACGATTCGAACACGAACGAACGCATCACTGTTCGTGTTTGGTTCGTTTAACTAACCGAACGAAAAAAATTTGTTCGTGTTTGTCTCGTTTACACATCGAACGAATCGAACACGAACTCATTGACGAACCGAACACGAACTGTTCGCGAACAACGAGCTTTTTTGACAGCCCTATATATCAGCATCATAATTTATAAATATATAAAAAGAAAATAAAAGCCTCAGTAAAATTCAGTCATCTGAAGAAATATCTTCACATAAAAGAGAACCTCATTACCCTTCAATTTTTTTTTTAACTTCTTCATTTTATTTTCCTGCTGTACATGATATACACCAAAATGCTTTGATATGATTCACCATAGAAATTAAGACAAACTAAATATTTTATTTCTCCAAAGCAAATAATATAATCACAAATATATAAAATAAATGTTATGATGTAAAATTACGTGATTTTATTACATTATATATTATGTGGTTTCCTTTTATATAGCATGATATCATGCTTGAAAAGGTTATTGTTGTTGTGTTGTGCAGGTTAAGGGTTTATGTCACTTGGGAAAGGAAAAAAAATGTGAATTAGGCGCAAAAGAATGAAAATCAGGATTTTTGATGATCGACCTGCATTTGCACTCGCGCACACCTGCTTGGGCACGCATGCACTTGGACACTTGCACGCAACTGCACACGCACGCTAGCAAACACGCCCCCGTGTGCACGCATGCCACAACACTTGCATGTTGCAGCCCGTGAACAAATCTACGTGTGGGGATGTGCACGCACCCACTGTGCATGTTGTTGCAACTCCACTGCTCTGCTGCTAGCGCGCGTTTGCTCGTCAAGGCTGCTGCTTGCACGAGCTCACGCTACCTTAAAGCATATGAATGGGCATTTACACGTGACTGCGGGCTAGCATGCGTGCCCGCACCTGCACACGAGCGCACCCATGCTCGCCAACCTGCCTAATGCTGAATTTCCAATTTTGACTGATTTCGAAAGTTTAGATGCCTACTTTGGATCTCTAATGCATGACCTAAGCATATATACATGTTTTTATTATTATGGGAGCACCTTTTGCCTTAAGGGCTTTGCCTCTACAGCTTAAGAAAGACTTTTGCAGCTCTTGGAGTTTTCTTTTTTGGGTTTACTCAGAAGAGTATGTTTTATTGTTTCTTATTCTTTTTCATGATTGTTTGAGGATTTTAATGATCTTGTAAGGTGATATTGAGTGCATATGCATGAGAGAGATCCACAAATATTTTTATTGATTAGAGAGGACCACGATGTTCTGTGAGGATCGATTGACTCTGTATTGAGTTTTCTGCACTTCTTATGTTGTTTTCTTTTTATTTTCCGTAATAACAAAATTCATGTTTTTTTTTTCATCATGCAGTGTAGCTAATCATGTTTTGCATTTTTGCGTTGAAGGTCTTATGGATTTCTTGTAGTTTTCATACTATGAATTATGTGTTTCCCTCAATGCCTTTTTAGTGCATTGTCGGCACTATTTTTGGTGTGGGGTTTGCCCGTAAGAAGCTGTCGGTCATCGGAATTGAAATCTCGTTGCCCGCTTCGGAAGGACATAAAAAAAAAATTAATTTTGGAAAAGATGAAGTCAAACTGACCCCATAATTTTCATAGTTTAGATGAAAGAGCACTTTATCTCAAATCATGTATCTATCCTGAAGGATGAACACAAGAATTGAGAGTGAGGCTCGATTGAATAAACTAAAGAAAGTTATGACATCCGTTTGGTCTGCGAAACCAATATATTGGCCGACAAGTTCCCCTATTTAATATAAGGAATTAAATAGGGTTTATATTATGCTGGGTTCGGGAAAAGCTTCCTATAAGGGCAAGCCCCTATAGTTAATTATATCTTAGATAATTAAAGTTACCTAAGAATACTCTCGATAGAAATCAAGGAAAAATTATCTTCAAGGAGTTCAAATGGTAAGGACATCTCAAAGATATCGGACTAAGAAGTGTGAAAGGAGATTGGTTCAAATTTTGAACATTTTATTTTG